AGCATGTCAGCAGTTGTGAGGGTCTTCCCGGGTGCATACACTATTTTGTATGAGTACCTCATTAAGCACATCCGGAACCTCTGTACTCTGGGAGGCAGTGCATCCAAGGCCTGTCCCCCTAATAAACTCACTAAAGGTTTGTGGTCAGTTTCCAGTTCAAACTGTAAGCCCAGGATGAAATCACTGAACCTCTCACAGGCCCATGTTAGCGCCAGAGCCTCTTGGGGCGACGGTGGCACAGGAGTTAAGTGCTCGCCCCGTAATCTGAAGGTTGCAGTTTGGAGCCCCGCCCAGTCTGCCGCTGTCGTTGTGTCCTTGGGCAAGACACTTAACCCACCTTGCCTGCTGGTGGTGGTCGGAGGGACCGGTGGCACCTGTGCTCGGCAGCCTCACCTCTGTCATTGTGCCCCAGGGCAGCTGTGGCTACAATGTAGCTCACCCCCACCAGTGTGTGAATGTGTGTGTGAATGGGTGAATGACTGATTGTGTTGTAAAGTGCCTTGAGGGGTTCCAGGACTCTAGAAGGCGCTATATCAAATACAGGCCATTTACCATTTACTTGAACGGTTTGCCTCTCCTAATTTGCATCGTGTCCACAGCTGCTGTGTTGTCGCTTGACTCCCTCAAGTCTGACTGCTCTTAATTTCTTCTGACTGTCTAGCAATTGTAATAGCCTTTGCCAGGGTGAGGTCTTTATCAAGTTGCATCTTCTCTCTCTCTCTCTCTCTCTCTCTCTCTCTCTCTCTCTCTCTCTCTCTCTCTCTCTCTGGAAGCCCCACTCTAAGGGAGTTTGCAGTGTATTAGTGAGTCATATATTGTACAACCACAGTCATAAAGTTTTCAATCAGTAGTTTTATTTCAGTATGTATTTTTCCAGTATCACAAAAAATGTAATTTTATATGGTTAAAACCATCTAGCTTATGTGCACTTTTTAAAACACTGCCCAGCAAACATTCGGACGTTTAATGACAGTTGAACGGTCACAACTGTAAAATACCTGGAATTAAGAAAAATTAACATGACATCTACTGCATTTTCCTTGCCCGGCCTCGAACCTGGATCCTCCGGGGCGAGAGTCACCCGCTCTCCCAGCTGAGCTATGCCAGCAACTATTGAATATCAGACTTTTTTATATAGATAGAGGGTAAAGTGCGGGGTGAACTAACCAATCAGAGGACAGAGAAGATCTGCCACAGGCCACGCCTCCAGAGTGCCAAAAGCCCTTACAGCCGAGCGAGCAGGAGTCAGAAACCGAGCGCGCAGAGAGGCTGCCGCGCGCGCACGTTTTCCTCTGCCGTGTGGTCGTTGACAACGCGCACACGCAGGTTTGTCACTTGTGCACATCCTTGTGCGCTCACAGACACAGTTTGCTCCCTCTCAGTGCACAAATGACCTCTCGCCATGTATATTTCCGCTCGCGAGTCCCGTTCACACGCGCGCTGCCATGTATATTTGCGCTCGCGAGTCCCGTTCACACGCGCGGTGCCATGTTTATTTGCGCTCGCGAGTCCCGTTCACACGCGCGGTGCCATGTATATTTGCGCTCGCGAGTCCCGTTCACACGCGCGCTGCCATGTATATTTGCGCTCGCGAGTCCCGTTCACACGCGCGCTGTGGACCCAATGCGCGTGCACGGGTTGTGGCACGCTTTAAACGCCATACTTTAGCTCCTGATCAGCTGATGACAGCTTCATCACTCCACGCTGCTTAAAGCACGCATTTCCTTATCAGTAACAGAAACAAGTTTTGCTCGTTACTGAAAAAAAAATTTTTTTTTTTAGTAACGTGGTTATTTTAAACGGCGTTATTCCCATCACTGCTCTGTTGTGTCTACAGCATGCTGTGACTGAGACAGTGAGAACACTGAGGGTCTCCGCCCACCCGGCCAATCATCAACGTGTTTGTAAGTGTGTTACCCTGGCTGCAGCTCAACGTTCAACAAGCACATAGTAACGCACAACCTTCCATCCCCAGTAATTGTAACAGCATTGCAACATTTGGAAAAGTGTTTAATTAGAGTATTCCGTTACCTAAAAAAGAACACCGTTATATTTAAACATCGTTACTCCCAACACTGTATACACACACACACACACACACACACACACACACACACACACACACACACACACACACACACACACACACACACACACACACACACACACACACACACACACACACACACACACACGTATATATATATTTACATATATACATATAATGTCAGTATTTTTGTCCTTTATCTGATAGCACCATCTAGTGGCTGACAAGTGTATCACATCATGACCAACTTTCATTACATAAGGCCGAACCTATGGGCCGAACACAACACCTCTCATTCATAAACGCTCTCCTCTAACCAACAGAACACAACTAAAACACATTGTTTTACAACTATTATACCCACATTATTTGTTCATTCATAATTAAAGACTTATTTGTCCACGAGAAAGGTCACCAATCTGGATCAACGCTCTGTGATTAACACCTGTACGTAAGTCTGATGCTATCGGTTAGTGTATACATTTAAAAAACAATACTCTCCTTTGAAGTGGAGTTATGTGGAAAGGTGATGAACTGATATTTTACCAGTCAGCGGAGTTCATAGTTAATCAGTGTGGATAGTATAGTCTTAAAATGTCCCAGCAGCTCATGTGAAGGATGTTTTCACACAGTTTGTAATTTTTACACTGTCCTTAGTTTCACCTTACATGATTAAATAGGCTGATAATGTTTGTAAAGATATTTGCCATGGAATAAACAATCAAGCATGTAGCTGTGTGCAGGTTTATAAATGTTGTTAGCATAAATCACAATGACCTTTTTGAGATTATTTCACTTAAACAGCGCTAGTCCTCTTTGTTTCAGGCTTGTGACTAAAGCTGTTAGCTCCTAAGTTTAGTCAGAAAGAATGCCTGTTTTTCACAGCTGAGCCCATTAAAAGTGCTGTCAACAACAGATACGTAAGTGAAGTTTATTTACATTGCACTTTTCATAGATAGAATAATCACAACATGCTTCACAAAGATAAAAAGGTAATTAAAAACAGAAACACTAAAGATTTAGGGAGGTTGCTATGGTCTTCTCCTGCTATCGTGCATTGCTGTTGTGTGGTGCCTCTTTTTTTCCCAAATGCCTTGGGTCTGCTCTGCTGCATCTATCTCTTTAAACTTCCAGCAGGTAGATATTGGATTCACATACTACTGATTAATTTTTGAAACCCATTTTACAGATATTAAATTGAAATTTGTTGTGGTAGTAGCAGAGAGTCACTAATACCACAAACTCTGAGTTAACAAGACATTCACGGTGGGGTTGTTTTCAGGATTTGTCAAAAATGTCGATAATTCCGTAATTTGTCAACATTAACTTATCTTAGTTAGAAATTCTTGCATGAAGAAGAGCAATAGGAAATGTGCATTTATTCAAAGACTGCCAGTCCTGTAGAGGGTTGTGGATAATAATTTTACAGCAGATTTTTCAGTTTCATAGATTATAAAAACAATGAAATCTTCCAGTTGTGCATCTCTGATCTTCTTTCACTTTTGCACACACACACTGTAAAATAAATCTCTTCTGCATATTAGTTATTCATGTGTTTTAATAACAAAAAAAAAAAATCCTTCCGTGACACACAAGATGGCACTATTTCACTGCTGTTTTCATAGAACATGGGGCCCATTCAAATTTTTGATCAAGATAAGGTAACCGCATCTAACTGAGTGTGTTTGTTTTGCCTGGCCATTGCTCCTTTCCATTTGTGTTGTTTATGCATTCTTTATTATGCATTAAAAAGCAAAAGTAGCCCCTTCAGGCCACATGTGTTATTCATTTCTCTGGCGGTGTCTCACTGAAACTGAACTTGCAAACAAGAGCAAACACAAACAAGAACGAACGTTTGGAGAGTAAAGCTGCCATTAGTATGTTCTTATTCATGCTGTGGTGTAAACTCTGTGCGTTGATCTTGGCAGCTGTCAAAAGGACTGGTTTGTTTGGAAATGTGAGATACTCCACGAGGCTTAGAAATGAAACATTTCTCTAGTTTTAATTATTGAAAATGTTAAACAACTGATCCGTCATGGTCAAATGTTGTTTTGTGCAACATTTGCCACATGTTTCATATTTACTCATCAGGGATGCATCTTTATTTGTGTAATCTCAGTGCAATAGTAAGTCTCACATCCAGCTGCTTTTCAGCGAATAAAAAAATGTTTTACAAAAAAATAAAAAAACAGGGCTCCTTGGGTCAAGTGAATGAAATGTGGGAGCAATTTTGGCCAAACTACCTGGCTTTCTTCCAAACCCAGCAGCTGAGGAAAACCACTTATCCTTCCTATGACATGAACGAGCACTTCAGCTTCAGACGGAGTCTTCTTAGTGTCACGTTAAACCGTAGACGGTGGGAAAAAGGAGTGTTTGCCGTTGGTTGTGATGATATACCACAGCACAGACAGAAAAAATGCATTCCTCGCATAAAACTTTTACAGTAAATCTTGCTTTTGCAGCAATGAAGACAGCAACTCCAAATCGAATTAGTTCTGCTGCCAAATGAGAAATTAAAGCAGAACTCCAGCATTTCTACTACATCTGTTTGAAGGTCTGATATTTGGATTTAAAAAAAATAAAAGAGAAAAGGACACAAAAGAAAACTTCTAAATGAGCTTTTTTATTACTCTGCATGTAGCATGAAATATATAAATAACTGCTATTACATACTCCAAGTATAAGCTTAAATGTAGCAATGGAGAGAAAGCACATTACTAAATAAATCACAGCCTTGTGAACTTATTGATAATAATAATTTACTGTTCAGAGGGGAAAGTACAGAAGAGAAACCTTCAGCAGCTTCTCGGTTTTTGCATTAAAATGGTGAAAAGTGACAGTGATGATGGTGGAGCAGCGAACGACACCAGTTCTAATATTAACAGAGATTCTTTGCCCTGTTTGGTGAATCCGCCCATACTAGGAAATGAGGCTTTCCTGTTGTTTTTAAGAGCCTTCCTGGGGAAAGGTTGAGATATGTAATCCCTACCCACCAGTGAAGATGAACAGAGCATTGTTGGGGAAGATGACAGCCACCAGGTTCTCTCTTTTGTTTTCTGGGAGTTTAGTGACTCTTCTGATTTGGGGTAAGTGCAATATTGTCATTCTTCTATTCTTTAACATTTGCAGAGAATCTTGCCCGTTTTCTCACCTTTTCAAGAACAAATCTAAAACTTGAAGATAGTCAGAGAACATGCTAAAGCTTGTTCACTGATGAATGAGTAGCAAGCATTGTCCTCAAATAAGAATTTAGAGTATTTTTGTAATCTAATATCAGTAATTTATTTAAAAACATATTCACTTACATGATAATTCAACCATGGCTGCATCAGTCGTTTATTTGTTTAAAAAGGAGTAGCATTTGGCTCTTAGATGTCACTTAACCTTTACAAAAGAAAGTGTTTCACGTTACTAAAGCAAAAACAATCAAAGACAAAAAGAATTAAAAAGAAATAAACACAACACTTTTTTCAACTAAATAAATGATATGATACATATCCCCACTAAGAATATATTTTCTTTAAATTTGCAAAAACTCAAAAATGAAACTGCAGTCAAAAGCAAGATGAACAAACAACTCACCAACATTTAGTTTTTTAACTAAACAAAAGCTACATTTAAAGAATGAATCATGTTATTTTCGTGTTAATCCGTGACTGTCTTTAGAGATACTTTACTCTCGTGAGGAAAAAACATCGAGGTTATGTTTTATTTCCTTTGCTCTGAAGCTTTTTACCCTTTAAAAACTGGAACAACAAAACTTTAGTAAAAAAAATCTAATTTTAACAACTGAATTATTTATTGACTAATGTTAAAATAACAACAATTTAATAAACTGTGGTATTTTAATATGTAATTATATAACAAAAGTGACAAATAAAATTGGCCCCTGCAACCTGTAGCTCCTCCACCAGAGGGCGGTATACATTAATGGGACACTGTTTTTTGATTAAATACTAATACTAATCTGTTCTATTCAGGGGTTCTGGAGATGAGGGTCTGTTGAATTGTCAAACCTCAGATTCAGGAGGAACAACGTGGTTTTTGACCTGGCCGTGGAACACTGGACCATCTCTATACCCTTAGGAGGGTCCTGGAGGGTGTGTGGGAGTTCGCCCAACCAATCTACATGTGTCTGGTAGATTTGGAGAAGGCATTCAACAACATCCCCCAGGGGGCCCTGTGGGGGGTACTTAGAGTTTTTGGGGTACCAGGCCCTTTGATAACGGCTGTTAGGTCCCTGAATGACCAGTGTCAAAGCTTAGTCCGCTTTGCCGGCAGTAAGTCGGGCTCGTTTCTGGTGAGAGTTGAACTCCGCCATGGCTGCCCTTGATCATAGATTCTGTTCATAACTATTATGGATAGGATTTCTAGGCGTCGTACCGGTCTGTCGTGGTGAGGAGAGCTGAGTCAGAAGGAGAAGCTCTCGATTTACCGGTCGATCTGCGTTCCTACCGTCACCTATGGTCGTGAGCTTCGGGTAGTGACTGAAAGAACGAGATCGCGGATACAAACAGCCGAAAGAGTTTTCTCCGAAGAGTCGCTGGGCTCTCCCTTAAAGATGGGGTGAGAAGCTCGGTCATCCAGGAGGGGCTCAGAGTAGACCCGCTGCTCCCCCACATCAAGAGAAGCCAATTGAGGTGGCACGAGTATCTGGTCAGGATGCCTCCTGGACGCCTCCCTGGTGAGGTTTTCCAGGCACGTCCCACTGGGAGGAGACCTAAAGGTAGACCCAGGACACGCTGGAGGGACTTTGTCTCTCACCTGGCCAGGGAACGCCTTGGGATTCCCCCGGAGGAGCTGGCCCGAGTAGCTGGGGAGAGGGAAGTCTGGACCTCCCTGCTCAATCTTGGTTTATGCTTGACGCATTCACTTCCCGCTTGGTGATGCAGCTCGCGGATGGAACACGCTTCACAACTCGCAGCATTTATGGTTCGTGCGGCTCGTCTCTGCAGTGAGCCAATATTCTCCCAAACTATAGGGGGCAGCATGGAGCTCTATGGCATGCATCCAACACTACACCATAGTAGAAGTAAAAATTACTGTTTACAACATGGCATTCCAGCGTTTTTAACAGCGTCCTCGTCTTTTCCGACAGTGCGAGCTATTTCTCTCCAAGAATTATTAACAACATGTTGATCACGGTGATCTCTGAGAGCTGAATCATACAAATGTCTGTATTTACGAACCTCTTCCATACTAGTTCTTGCCGGTCCTCCATGATTTTCCGCGTCCGACCATCCGCGTGGGTAGAAATTTTCCTAGGTGCGCGTTGCGGAAATTTTGGGCCATGCGGAGACGCGGTGGAGGGGCGTGGTTGTTAAAATGATGCAATTTCGCCGCGCGGAGCCGTGCGGACCTCGCGGACGCGTCAAGCATAAACCAACCTTAGGCTGCTGCCCCCGCGACCCGACTCTGGATAAGTGTCTGAAAATGGATGGATGGATGAATAATGCTAATGTGAATCAGTATTAGTTGAACGACTCCTTAGGAAGTGGAAGACAAAGAGAGGGTGTCCTGATGAGTTGTGTCACCACGGCTTTGCTCATTTTCTTTTCTTTTACCTTCACAGCTTCTAACAATAGTATGAACAATATTATGGATTATAATCCACATTGTTTCATTTCAGGGTGCCCAACAGTGACTTGTCAGGTTAATGACAACACCACAGTGCAGCCGATCACAGCATCTACAGGTGTGTATGTGCATGTTTTAAACCAACAAAGAAAGTAACCCAACAAAACTTGCATGTTCAGGATAATCCAACATTTCCTCTGCACAGGTTACAGCTCCACAGAAAGCTGGACTACCGGTGAGTTTCAGCTTCTTTTTTCAAACAGCAGAAAAACAAACGAACTTTTGTGCTTTAATGATTCCGGTTTAGGATGATGCATGGAAAAGTATTATTTTAGGAATTTGTTTGCATCTCGTCTCCAAACGGATTGGTTTGACCTGGAATGGATGAAACCAGAAAGCAGAAGTCCGTGTGTTTTCTGCCAGGACATCAGTGTGTGTTGTGTCCCAAGAACCCAAGATAAACTCCTGTGGAGGTCTCTACCACAGAGGGGGGTCAACAGCAGTAGATATGAGGCCCATTACAGTTTGGGGTTAAAGGTTAAATGAATCCTCATCGTGAACAGCCCCCCCCCCCCCCCCCCCCACATGGCTCAACTTCCTGACTTTGTTCGTCATTCACCTCACACAACGTCAGCGATCAACGCATAAACTCTGAGTTGTGAAACAGCTGAAACTGGAGCGGCGCCCCTTCGCTGTTCCTCATCCTGTGCCTTCTCTTTTTTTCCCTTTCCCTGACTCCCCCACCCCCTCTTTCCCCTGCCAACACCCCCGACTCAGAGCTCCTCCTCTGCTGAAGACACATTTCCTGATGTCATTACTAAATCAGAACGCTGCTCAGCAAACAGATGTTGTGTGAGGAGTCTGGGATATTAATTTACGAAGACGACACAAACTACGAAGTTTATTTCTTCACTCCATCAGTAAAAAAAAAATTTTTTTTAAATCAGTTTATAAAACTCTGATGGGATAGTAAAAATCCACCCAGCAAACAGACCGCAGCCAGGTCTCCCGTGTTGTGTAAATTAATATTGTTCAACTTCAAAATAAAAATATTACAAGCATGTGTAAAGTTAGGTGGCCTTTAAGATGCCTGGTCAGTTCTGATTAATCAGTTTTATCAAACTAATGTAAATATGAGCTAGACAGCACACCCAGCAGAGTCACCGTTACATCCACCCCAAAAAGCTAAGCCCTAAATGTTTACTTATGTTTCCTCTTTGGCAGACGCAGCTCAGAAGGCAAATAAATCACATGCTGTGAGCTGGCCAGGCCCTCGACTGTGAGAAACTGAGACTAAAAAGCAGAACGAGAGTTAAAGAGTAAGGGTTTTCAGATGTGAGTCCAGCCCCAGCTTGGGTGTGCTCCTTTTATATGGGAGAACAGAGAGGACAGTCCTCGTTGCCTCCACCCCTTTAAAAAAGGAAAAGAAACTTGAAGAAGCGTGATCTGGAGAGGGAAAGAGCTGCTGCCAAGGCGCAGGGCCGTCAGACAGATCTTTGGAGAACATCTAGTAACCGCGGGTAACATTACTTGGACATCCTGTCGGGTTTCCTGTTATGCCTCGCCGCATTCAGCCTGAGAGGTTCTTCGTTTGGGGAAAACGCACCTTTATTCATTTTTTCCTGACATGAAGGGAGCAGTTGGTTTCTTTGGGGTATTCCTCTCCTTTCTCTCTGGTGAGTGTGTGGTCTCCCTTCAACAGCTGCAAATGCCTGCCTCACAGTTTAGCTAAAAAAAAAAAAAGGAAAAAAGAGCTTCAGCTGACAAAGATTCTCACATTTGAACTGAACAGCAGGAGCGTACAGCAGATTAGAGATATATTTAATAATTGAAATATTATTAGAAGTAATTTTTTTATTCTTAAAAATGACCTTTTTGCCTGTTTAGATGCCTCTGGCAACTCTCTCCCATTCGTAAAATAATTCATATGTAACTAAAAATCCAGCCAATGTAAAGATGCAATGTTTCTGAACACTTTATCTCTTGCAGCTTGTGGGAATTCTTCAAGGTGTCTGATCTTTTGTGACTTCTGTGAACGCGCCTTTGGATCACCAAGTATGGATTGCCTCTCTTTAATTGTGGAGAAGATTTGTCTGCCTGATTTCCATGACTCCATGCTGCTGCTAAACAGCACCGACTGGTGCATTTGGGATAATGTGAAAAGGTAACTTGATTTTTTCATTGAATAAACTCTCAGCTGCTTTAGGAAGTTTATTAACGCCACACTGATGCCCCCTATTCTCCTTGTCTTAAGTTTGTACAGCAACTTCAGCGTTTGCACAGAAGAGGTTTCAGACTGTCTGCTGATCCCGTGGCCCAACCAGCTGGTGAAGGAGGTGTTTGTGAACATTCACTATCAGTACTTTGTGGAATGTACTACAGAAGAGTTCAGCGACCCTCCGCCAGCCATCGTCTTTGCTCTGGTGATCACCCCCATCTGTCTGATACCGATGATGGTTAGTCTGGTGGTGCTCAAGACCAAAAACGGGGATGGCACCTCCTGAACGAGCGACGTTTGACATCCACTTTCTCCCATCCTGAGGACTGCTGCTGTGCTGTCATCTGTCAAATGACCTTCCAGAGGCCCGATTCTCTCTGACAGACTTACCTTCACTCATCCACACACGATCCATGTTTAGAAACAGAACCAACAGATTCTGAATGATTGTTTCTCACAGAGATTCACTGTGGTGATATTTATGTTCTGTGCAATATGGTATCTCGTTTACTGTAGCTAAGGAAAAGGCTCTTTGTAAGCGCCTTAGAATCACTGACTGAACCAGTTTGCACACAATAGTCTGACAACAGAGATCCATTTCTTCTGGAATAAATGTGTTTGTGTCGACAAAAGCTCTGGAGCTTGCAAAGGTAAAGTGAAATCTATGATGTATGCTGGTATATCATCATCGTTCATCTTTTCAGGTGAGCTGCTAAACCTAACTCTGGTCTGTTGTTTGGAAGAAATTAAAGAGCAAGACATCCAATGCACAGATTTAGTTCTGTGAGTGTTCAGAGGTTGGGAGTCAGAGGTCACAGCAGCGTGGACGCATTGTTCGAGTGTGACAGGAGAGGATTTCCTGGTATTATGTTGTTTTCCTTTCTTTGTTGAACAGTCAGAAATCTTCGTGCTCTTTTTTCCTGTCTGAATGACATTTACTGACTATTATAGAACTAATCAATGAAAAGGCTAAATGTGTGATTCGTCATTGAAAACCAGACACACTGATGACAAGAAGAAACAACCAAACTTCTTTGCTTGCAACATATTATAGTGGTGTGGTTGTGTGATGCTGAGTTTTTAAAGGTGATGATGTGTATTTATATACTTTATTAATGTCAGGAGCTAATGCAGTCTGGAGCTGTTCTCCCTTCATGTACTGTGCACACGTTTAAATACTATGAAGCTTTTGAACTATGATATCAGCTGGAGTTTTGGCTGAAGCTTGTTTTTACTCATCTGTTTCTGAATAAAGACCACCGTTAAAGTTCAGCTGAAGCCTTTAAGGATATATTAGCAGAGCTGCTGCATCACTGTGATGAAACTACCCTTTCACCTTTGTCTGTGTTTGATTAAACACTCCTGTCCCCTGAGTGTGGCACAGATGTCCTTGCAGCCCCCCCCGCCCCACCCGGCGTCTTTGGTGAGCAGCACTGTAGTGTTGTTTCTATGCTGTGCAAGTCCTCGTGTAGCAAAGGAAGCAGTGACAGCAGCCATGTATCACACCCTCATCTGGCAAACTCATACATAGCACTGCAGGACTCCTTGTGTCTGTCTCACTCTCTCTCTCTCTCTGTGTGTGTGTGTGTGTGTGTGTGTGTGTGTGTGTGTGTGTGTGGGCTGGGTGGGAAAGTGTGCTTAGTGACCTTTTTTTCCCTCTTCAGATATCAGATCATCTTCACCTCCACCCGCTTCTGATCTCATCCTGCCATGTGTCCCTCCCTGTTGTTGCGGCAACCCAGACATCCGTTCTAATGCTAATGTGTAAAAATATACTGATAATAAACAGTTATCATCTAAATAATTTCATCTTTGTTCTCCGGACTCTGGAGCAAATACAACATGTGGATTTCACACATCAATGTAAAGTCAAAAACCTGAGCTGTTTCATCCTGCACACACTGCCACCAGGTGGCCGTAGGTGGTATTGTGAGAAAGCATGTTTAGTGTGTTCCAATTCCAATTTTATTTATAAAGCGCATTCAACAAGGCATTACAACCAAACAAGGCGCTGTACACTAAAAATGTTAGTTAATTAAACCGGCGTTATACAGTCATGTAGTACAGAGATAAAAGATAAAAAGGAAATACAACAAAATTCCTAAAACTAACAGTTAAAAATCAATAAAACACAGGGAGAATAAAAAAATAAGAAAAACATTTTAAAAAGAACCTCAGTAATACGGAAGTTGATATTGTGTATTCCATTTTTAAACAATGTAGTTGTAAGTGAGGTTCATAATTATGTGGTATACGCTAGGTTGAAGTAGTGAGTTTTCGTGCGTGACTTAAAAATGCTAGCTGTTGGTGCTTGCCTCACTAGCAGTGGTAATGCGTTCCACAGCTTGGGTGCACAGACAGAGAAAGCCCTTTCTCCACGGCTTTTTAAACGTGCATTCGGAACAGCTAGGAGGAGCTTATCTTGTAAAACATTGAAAAGAAAAAGAAAATGTTGTTTATTTTGCTAAAAAAATAAACGTGTGGCTAAATTCTAGAATTAATAAAGCAAATGAAAAATGTATAAATAAAAACAAAAAAATTCATTTTTATTTATTTATACACAAATTAGTCATTCGAAAAGTATTAGTTAAAGATTCAGATTGATATATTATTGTTTTAAACAACATGTTAGAGGCACGAGGGAATAAAACGTGTGAAATCATGAGGTAGTGCACCAGGACAGCTGTGGAGCTCCACAGCTGTTCATCATCCAGACTTTGAGGCTGCACAGCCTTCAGCCTGAACGCACAGGGCGGACGGATGGATCTCCAAACAGCAGGAAAAGACTTCAAACTGAGATTGACAAAGTAAGCTTAGTCTTCAATCCATTCCAATTTGGACTGATTTATTTCATAACCTATAATTGTGCAATGTACCATTCATAATGCACAATCTAAATAATTCCATTCATTCATTAACATCCTGGTGTGCTAAGCTCTCCTCTGATGTAACATTCTGCTAGTATCTGAAACAAGTGCGTCAGAGCTTTTTGTCTCCTGAGTACGTCTGACAAGGCATTCAGTCACACTAGAGACCACTGCTGTTGATGACATCACACACCGTCTTTTACTAAAAGATTTGTTAGTCAGGAGCAGATCTCAACTGCGTGTCAAGCTGTGCTGGCTGGATTTCAGCACCGTCATTTTGTAGAAGTCTGCAGATGCTAGAAGACAGCAAGGACACCGACTCTCACTCGCGTTGGTGGAACTTTGGCCTGAAAGCCGATAGTTTCATCTTCCCCGCTTGAGTATCAGTGACAGCAGATGAAAGTCTACAACAAAGTCTCAGAACAATCTCAACATTTCTGTCGAATTCAAGCAATTTTCTTCAGATGGATGTTTTTTTTCAGCAATGACTTTGTGGGCACTTGTACGCGTCGGAAAAATGCCAAAAAGGCTGAAAATGAAATGAGCACACCTGCTGATGTGAGTCATTAAAGGTGACATTAGTAATGAGTTTTTTGTTTGAGATCCAGGCAGCTGGCTAGGCTGTGTTGGGGCCGACCCTTCAGCTGGCTGACACCATGCTGGCAGCAGTTGCATATGTTCGAAAGAGCTTCCCGACCAGCCAGAATAAACTCAAGGAAATGTGGAGCTGGGCCTTGTTTCACTGCCAGTTGTTAATCTGGGTGAAATTATGTAGAAACTTTTGTAAAATTCTCCAGTGGTGATGGAGAAGCACAGTGTCCCGTGACAACCTGAAGGTCAGCGTTACTGAGCTTGATGACAACTGAAAAAAGTACACTCCAAGAACAACCTGAAGGGATCGGCTCGGTCAGAAAAATGAGATTTAAAGCAGTCCACTAGGACCAAGTTACAACATGAGATGGTCAGACTGAACCTGGAATCTCCCGGGATCTTCAGCAGAAAAAGTATCAGCTTGATGCGGTAGTAGGGTTAGGCTCAGGGTAGTAGTAGGGGCAGCAGTAGCTCAGGAGGTAGAGCGGGTTGCCTCATGATCATGAGGGTCATGGGTCTGATTCCAGCTCCCGCCAGGGGTGTTCTGCTGTTGTGTCCTTGGGCAAGACACTTCAGCCAACTTGCCTGTGTTGGTGGTGATCAGAGGGGCCGATGGCGCCAAATGGCAGCCTCGCCTCTGTCAGACCGCCCCAGGGCGGCTGTGGCTACAAAGTAGCTTACCGTCACTAGCAGTGTGTGAATGTGAGAATGCATGCAAGCATCTTTGAGTGTCCTAAACAAGCGTTACATAAGTTTGATTATTATGATTATTATGATTATGATTATTATGATTATTATTAAAACATCTAGAGATGCTACTGAATTTCAAACTGAGCCTCAAAATGAAGAAGACTGGAGATTCAAGCGACTTTTGCAAATAAACAAACTGCCTAAGTTGTTGACATGGTCAGGTTTAAAGAGTCAGCTGAAGACTCGTTTTTCTACCGTTGTATTTGCAGACATAATTTTAGTGTTTTTAACTTTTCTTTTACCAACTTTTACAAGATTTTAACGAATATCTTAAACTGGTTACCTGCTGCTTGTTGTTCAGCACCGTGGGCATCTTTTGTTCGCTGAAGGGACGTTACCATAAAGGGTAATGGTGGTGGTGGTGAAGATGCTATCAGCTCCTAACCATCTCTAGGGTTCACAGAGAATATTCCAACTGCAGGAAACAGAAGAGAAATAGCATCTCTGAACCACAAAGTTGGACCTCGAAGCAGACGGACTCCAGCAGCAGAAGACCACACCAGGTGTCTCTCCACAACTGGACCATTAGAGACTGAAACATGTTTCCTGGTCTGAGTCTGGATTTCAGCTGCAACATTCAGATGGTTGGGTCAGAATCTGGTGTCACCAACATGAAGGCATGGCTCCATCTTCTGATGGCCACTTTCAGCAGCATAAAGTACCATGTCACAAAGCTCAGATCATCTTTACCTGGTTTCTAGAACGTGACTTGTTACCTGGATTCCAGCGGCCTCCACTGTCACCAGATCTGAATCCACCTTTGGGATGTGGTGGGATCGATGGCTTCGATGCTATCATGTCAGTACGGATCTAAGGAATCTCTAGGAATGTTTCTAACATCACAAACAATCAGAGCCCCCTGTGCACCATCCCAAACAGGCTAGAACAGGTGCGTTTTTCCACAGGTATTAAAATTTTAAAACTGTTCAGTGCGCTCCAGCCTCCCTACTTCCATTTTTTCTAGCAGTTTATTGAATCTATGCTGAAAATATTGAAGGAGGTCTGAAGGCAAAAGCAGGTTCAACTCACTGCTAACAAGATCAGAACAATGAAACTGAAGCTTATTGTCATTATCTCAGACAGAACACAGGAGATGGTTCCAGTTCCAGTTCCAGGAAGGAAAGAAGGATGCTCTGAAGGTCCAAGTGATTTGTATCCTGGTTGAAGAAATGGAAGAGTGTTAGAGGTCAGATGTAATCATAAACACAGCTCTTAAACTGGAACAAGGATGTTAGAACAACCTAGAACTTACAAACGAGTGGTAAACAGGTTTCAGATTCATCAGCTGTTATAGAAACGTTGTTAGAAAACAACATTAGCTTTCAGATAAATGATGGGATGCATTTCTGTTGTTTAGCATTAATTTGACCAAAAAGGGTGCAGCAGAAAACAAAAAGATAAAACTGAAGTTTAGACAGAATAAAAGAGATGGATGTCTCATCTCTGGTTTTATTGAGCCTGATCACGTTTTAACCTGAAAGTGAGCATCAGCTTAGATTCTAATTATTGCTCACCGTTCTGTAACCTGCTCAGTTTATTTAAAACGAGATCTGATCCACTGGCAATGCCAAATAAGGAGAAAAATACAAAAAGCACAATAACTCTTCAAAATAAGATTCCCAAATTTGTCACAGGGGCATGAGCACCTTTCTTGTTAAAATTATAACTAAATGGAAAAATACCTAGAACAGAAAACTCTTTTTGATTTATTTTTTAAATTAAATTACCTCTACTGTTACATGATACATATCTGTGTCCATCTGCATGCGGAGATATTTCAAATAAACAAACTCCCCTGGAGAAACTATTCCCCGAACTGTCCAGGAACAACATGACATCTGACCCTCTTGAATTAAATTGAGAAATATGGAAGAATCTGTGAAATATAACCTGCATAAATATGAAAAAACAACACAAACACACACACACACACACACACACACACACACACACACACACACACACACACACACACACACACACACACACACACACACACACACACACCAGTGAAATTCCAGTGCATAATAAAACACCGAGTTCTGTTTCAGAGCCAATATTTTG